GTCTATGTTATTATACAGTATTTACTATGGTTTTGTAATTTATATATATTTATTTTTTTACTATTTGTTAAACTTATATATAATAAATGATAAGAATGTATGGAGTTTTTTTTTTAACTATCTGGCAAGCTGACTGAGTAAATACTCACGAAATTATAATTAAAACGATAGAAAGAACAAGTAAATAAATTAAAATACGTCCCAAAATATTTAATAAATCAGTGCAAAAACCGAGTATTAAATAAATTGAAATAATTGAGTAAATAAACTGAAATACATCCCAAACAACAGTACCAAGAACGAATAATTTAAGTGAAATACGCCGCAATTAACGCACTACATTCACTGAGAGACGCGCTTGGCGTTCCATAGAAATGACTGGCGGCTCAACTTGTCTGCGGCTCAACCGGTCATAATCCGATTTTTTGGCCCGCGTCGATTTCTTTGTTATTTGTTATTTTTAGAAATTTCGTTTTTTAGTTCCTTTGTGACCTTAAGGTCACAAGGAACTAATGGGATCATTCGAACATGAAATATATATATGTGTGTATGTGTGTGAGCAAAGTGAGCAGCGGGTTTGTAAACGAATAGGCTCCTAAACGGTGCCTCACGGTGGGTATAATGTTTTCCTCATAGTAACTGGTGGACATGAAGTTGTGCAACAATTGTTTGTTTTTTATGTTAGATGAGAAATGTAGGACGTACGCGATAAAACATATACCCCCTACCACCATTTTTGAGTCGTTTTTAGGAGAAAATTTCGATATGCACATGCGTCGGAAAAACTTTGCCGACATTTTGTTTTTCATCGCGAGAGGGTAAGCGAGCTCCATAATGCACTTGTTGTGGTGTAGTTGACCAATTGTTTACGGGATCGTCGGTAGGGTTAGGCCTCTGTCGTGTTAATGTAGCAGGTGCATGGGTTATTAAGAATGAAAAAAAGTGATCTAACCAAACACGGTCTTTACATAATGGTATTGGATCAAACATGTTTAATATTTTGCGGAAATTTTGTTTTCTATCGCGAGAGTATACAGTTTACACTAGAGAAGTTGTCTGTGTTGTTTATGCGAACGTCTAGGCACTAGCGTGAACTTTAGGTAGTTGTGGTAAGTCGACTACTGCTTGTCGTCTAGTAGGTGTAACATGTGTTATAGTAAAAATTAACATGATCTGAACATTTTACATTATAGTATTGAATCGAATGTGCTAACCTACCTAAAGTCTTTTACACACGATGAACACGTGTAGGGACAATCAAACGGTGAGTCACTTCTGGCCTAGTAGTAGTAGTACTTAGGCTAGGCCTAGCGTAGGCCTGCTACTACTAGGCCGCCTAGGCCTATATTAATTATTATATAGGAAACCTGACTATATTTGGAATAGGTAGTAAACTTAAAACGTTCTTCAGAATTCTCCGAAAGGCAGATTTGTTACAAACCGACTATTATGAACATATTTATAGAGCTTAAAACATCGTACAGGCCGATCTTTTTGTTCAGTCAATATAGACGCGATGAGTTAGGCCTAGGCTAGGCTAGTAGGCCTACGTCGAAAAATTCTTACGTCAATTCCTGCTCACCATTATGAGCCATATGCCCATTTTCTGAGTGGATAGTCCGATCGTATGACCATTTATGTATCAATCAAGGCAGGAATATTATATTTCGCCTAAAGTAGCCTTGCATTGCACACTTTATTTGAACTTGAAGGACAGCCTTCTGATTCATGGACTTTTATTTCTTTGCCTAGCGCTAACTAGCGGCACAGACCCGTCTGGCCCGGGGCACTTTCCCCTTATGGACCGGGCTCTTGGTGCCACTGGGGATTTGACTTTACTTTTTACCTTTCAAAATAAATGAAATGAAATGCAAAATTGTCACAAATGTTTTATTTTTTTGCAGATTGAAGTGAGTGTTGGTACCTCGAAGGAGGCACAGGATAGCTATCCCAGATTATGACGTGAATGTTTTTGTTGTCTGTAACCTAGAGCTTTATTTATTTATTTTTGGAATTGTATATTGTTTTTATATGTTATCCTTGTATCATTTTATATTTTAAAGATGGATAAAGGATATAATGAGAATATAAAGGAATGACAAGAATCAAGAATACATTATTTTTTTATCGAACAAATAAGTATACAATGAAAATAGCTGATTATTATTAATTATAATGTAAACAATTATTGGCTAAATACTGGCGTTAATCTTTCTAAATCTGTAGGTACTGGTTGTATCTTATGATCCAATGATTAATTTAAATAATATACTTGTCTTGTGATGTGATATCTTGCCTAAAACCAAAAATGCCTGAAAACAGAAAACACAAGCAAATCAGATTAACAGTTACTATACAATATATAGGGTATTTTTGATTTTTTTTTTATTGATTTTTTTTTTCAATAAAAAAAATTAATGAATTTCATACTGTACCTTGTGTTTTTATATTTGTTATGTCCTCTGGATGCTTTACTGTACGACTCTTTATGTGTGTGAC